CAATTGCAGTGGGTTCCTGGTGGCGGGGAGGGAAAGTGGAGGGGAGGTGGTGGTGGTGGTTCTGTGGGGGTTTAGGCTGCAGCCCGCTTGAATATCCATCTGAGTGTTGGCCTGGAAGGGCCTTGGACCTGCCAGGAATCCATCAGTCTGGGCCCGTTGTACAAACAGAGGACTGGAAAAGCATTTGACTCACACACTGTTGCCAGCTGAGTCAGCTCTGAGGTACTTTTCCTTAATCTTCCCTGGCAGTCTTGAGACTTGCTTCAGTGGCAAGTACAATACGTCAGGTGGGCCCCTCTTAACCCTTGGGTTCCTGACCAGGCATTTTTGGTGTCCTCTGCGCTGTGGGCAGCAAGGTCCTCCCATGGAGAATGAGAACTTACGCCATCGACCCCTGAAACCTCACGCTCCTCCCTGGGGATGCAGGACTGACTCCTGGCTTCCGGGGAAGGGACCCCCAAAGAGCCGAGACAGAGGGCTCCCCTGGGGGCTACAGCATCTGCCCCTTCCTTGGTATTGTCTTTTTCTGTGATTGAAACTTCACTGGGCTCTTGACTTTTCCAGAAGTTTCCTCTTGATGCCTTAGATCTTAGATCTTAAATTGAACGAGCAGGCACATTTCTTTCTTTCTGTATTTTGTTTGAAAGGTGGAGAGTGAGAGGCAGAGAGAGAGGTCAGTCTGCTGATTCACCTCCCAAATGCCTGCAACATGTGGTGTTGGACCAGGACAAAGCCAAGAGCTGGGAACTTCATCCAGGTGTCCCATGTGGGGGCACAGGGGCCCAGGTCCAGGAGCGGCCCAGGTCCAGGAGTGGCCCAGATCCAGGAGCGGCCCAGGTCCAGGAGCCCTCCCCTGCTGTCCCCCAGCTGGATGAAACAGGCCAGCCTGCTCTGGGCTTGTTCTTAAGGCTGCTGGATAGGCAGCCCAAGCACACTGGTCTTCCTGCCACATGTATTGGCTGCAAATGAACCTTAATGTTTGGGGTAGTTGGGGACACTGGGACACACAGGGTCATATTCCAGAATGCCAGCCACTCAAGCCTGGAGTCACTTTGTCTTTTTCTGTTCTTGTCTGATGGCTTCACTGGAAGATTCCAGCACATTTTGCTCAGCATGTTTGTAGCAATACCATCCTCTCTACAAATAGCACTCAGGCGCTAGCTCCAGGGGCCCCACTTGGCTCACAGGCTCCTGGGCTCTCTCTCTAGTATCGTCTCGGCCTGCAGCAGCTGGGAACTCAGCCCAGCTGGGCTGACCTCCGGCAGTGGGGAGAGAGCTGTCCCCTTGTCCCCAGCTGTGGTAGACCCCCTCTTTCCCATCACATGAGAGTGGGCTGCCCACTGGGACTTCCCATACACTTTCCTCCAGCCTATCCTTCTGCAAGCTGACATGCAGGGGACACTTGGATTTGTCCCTTTGCAACACAGCAACCTGAACCTGGGGGACCATGGCCCCCACTCTGTGGTCTTGCTGTGACCCCCAGAGGCAGACCCTCGCAGAGCAGGTGGCCCTCAGGCTCCCAGTGCCTGCTGGCCTCGCCTGCCTAGGCGTGTTTCCCAGGAAGGACCTCCCCACGCTGGCCTGAGCTGACGACCCAGCACCAGGCTCAGCCCGGTCCCAGGTCTTTGGTGGAGGAACCCCCCTGGGTCTGCAGCCCAGGGAGAAGGAGAGTTTAGAGCTGAGCTCTTTTCCGTCTGGGCAATGGGGGAACCGAGAATTCCATGGGTAAGTGTACCCCAAGGCAGCACTCAGGAGGGACTGTTACTGGGGGTAACTGCTCACTGTGTTGGCTAGGGGCCAGTCTGAAGGCCTGCCAGGCTCTGTCCATACACAACACTAGGCTATGACTTGGTCCACGAGTGACAGATGCAGCCTCTGTCCCCACTAAGTCCCCACTGAGACGGCCCACTCACTTCCCCCTCTCCTTACTGTGGGGTTTGACCAGGACAAAACCAGGAGCTAGAAACTCCATTCAGGACACACCACATCCCCTCTCACCACAGGGCCCTTGCATGGCTCTCTCTCTCCTTCCGTCTGTAAATCTGCCTCTCAAGAAAAAAAAAAATAAATAAAAACATATTCAATGCTCAAGCCCCCTGCCCCCATTACTCACTGTTCCTGTGAGTACCACTTAGCCCCGAAGCTTGGGCAGGCCTTGTGCAGGCTCTTGGCATGGTGCAAGGAAGGCAAACCAACAGTGTAAGCCCCAAGTGAGGGGGGCTCTGAGGGAGTGGGGGTGTTGGTGAGGGGTCCCCCATCTGCTGGTTCACTTCCCAGATGCCCACATCACCCGGGGCTTGCCAGGCAGATGCTCTGCCTCAGGGGCTGCATGGGGAGCTCGCACGTGGGTGGCAGGGACCCTGGTACTTGAGCGAGCACTGTTGCTTCACAAGGCACACCTTAGTAGATGGCTAGAATCAGCTGTGGAGCCAGGATTTGAACCCAGCACTCTGATACACAGTTTGGGCATCCTGAGGGCTGCACTCCTGCCTTGCCTTGCTCCAAGGAGCAAATAAACACCCAGGAAATGCTACTGTGGCACCACAAAGCTGTTCAAAGGATACGGTGCGTGGATGGCCATGGGCATGTCTGCCTGTTTCCTAACCTCTCTCCCAGCAGTCACCCACGTGGAATTGTTCTTGTATCCGTCTGCCATCAGCCTGGATGTTCAGCAATGAATGGGGCATGAACAAAAGGAGTTTTCCTTAGGAACCAGTGTGTTTTTAGTTTTGTTTGTAAAGATTTACTGCTCACTTACTGTGAGTTGTTTGCTGTCCAAACAACTGACCAATCAGGTCTCCCCTGTGGCTGGGGCTGAGACCCAAACCCAGGTATTGTGACCATGAGATGCGGGGCCACCTAAACTTAATTATTTAGAGACCATCTTCCCAAATAAAGCCACAAGCTCAGCTTCCAGGTAGACACAGGTGGGGGGAGATACTCTTTGTCACAGCTTCAGCTCACTCAGGCTGTGCAAACCCTCCAACATGGCTAAGTGACCCTGCCCGTGCTTAGGGTACGGCAGAGCCAAGGTGGCACTCAGGCACCTGGCTCCTCAGCCAAGGCGGTCCTTTTGCAGGTCACTGTCTGACTGGGCCAGGCATCCTTGCCATGTCATCTTTCCATTTCACGGAGGCGACAGATGTCAAAGATAGGGTGAGTGGGTGACTTGGGGGATCATACGGGTCAGTGAGTGGCAGAGTGAGGTAGGTCCCCAAGGTCTTCTCCCACAGTGGAATGTTCTAGCTCAGTGTCAGGCAGATGGGAAAAGTCAGACCCTCGAGGCAAGTGCTGCATGAGTCTGCGAGAAGTGTCCAGACCAGGACGGTGCAGAAGAGGAAGGGTTAGTGGCTTGCTGGATGCTGTGGGGAGGCAGGGGGGGACATGGCTGCTGATGGATGTGGGCTTTCTTCCCGGGGTGAGACTCATGTTTGGGGATGACGTGTGACTGCGCAAGTGAGGGAAAGCTCACACAGCTGAGCTGGACGGCCTGTGCAGGACGAGCCATGAGCCTCGCAATGTGTCTGCCCCCGGCTCTGAGGAAGCCAAGTTGAGGCTACCCTACGGACACGGCCCTGGCTCTTGAGCCAGCCCTGCAGAAGTCACTCAGCTCCCAAGCGCCCGCCTTGGGAACTGTGTGGTCCCAGCAGCACATGCCCTCCTTCTCAGCCTGTTTCCACACCGTGGACCTGTGATTGCCCGGAGCACCTGCATCCCGGCGTGGCTGTGGGGATGGCATTCGCCGAGCAGCCGGCAAGGGTGGGGCCTCCTGGGCCTAAAGCAGAACTCAGGGCCTGTTTCAGGAATTGCAACAAAGGACAGATCTGCATGAAAACTCCTCATCCGTTTATTAATGCGGCATGGAGAGACGTGGGTTTACACAGGAAACACTGACCATGGGACAGCTTTTGAGGTCTTTTAAAGGACTGTGTTCTTTATTGGGGAGCCAGCACAGTACCGAGGCACCCAGGGGTACCTCCAACAGTGTGAGGACCCCTCAGTGACCACTGGGAGGCGGCAGCCCACCCCAGTCCTTGGATGGAGGAGGGAGTGCTCCAGGGTAACGTGCAGCCTCTCACCCTGCACTCACACTGCATAGGCACCGTCCATCGCCCTGGCTCCCCATCCGGGGTCTCTTCTAACACAGCTGTTTCTCAGCCTTCACATCCCTGTGTCCCCACTGGGGGTGCCTGGAGAGACCTTGTGTATACATAGCACCTGTTGCTTTCCAAAGCCCTGTGTGCCCGCTGCCTCTGCTCTTCATCGCAGCAGCATTGTTACAAAAGAGGAGCCTAAGGCTGGGACGTGGCACCTGGGCGCCTGGCTGAGCCAGGACCTCGGCTCCTGCTGCCTCTGCCCACTCCATGTCCCCATAGAATCCGGCTTGGGCACCTGGCTGAGCTGGGACCTCAGCTCCTCGTGCCCCTGCCCTCCCTGTGTGCACACGGCGTCCAGCTTGGCGACATCCTGAATGATTCAGAGGTTGCGAGTGCCCAGTCATGCTTATTTGGGTGTCCAGGATTCCAGGTTCGTTCAAGACACAGACTGTGTCTTTTCTTGCTTCCCTCGTGCCTGGGGTGGCACAGCCAGCAGGTGCTGTGTCTATGCCGACCTGGTTCTCCTTTGCATGGATCACCTAGCCCATCATGGAGTGGGGCTGCAGGACGTTGGCCTCCTGGGTTCCCACCAGGGACCTCTCAGAGTTTAACCTTCATTAATCCAAACCCCTTCAAGTAATCTGGGGTGATCACCAACACTCGGCTGTGACCCCAAAGCTGGGGTGGCTGCTCTCCCTGATGATTGGAGCTGCCGCAGTGTGGCAGGAGAGCCACTGTCTGGAAGGAAGCTCAGCCACTCCAGTCCCTGCCTGCAATGCCCTCCGCTCCTGAGACAGAGCAAGCTGGTGGCCAGGGATGCCAGTGAGCTGTTGTGTTTTGCGCCCTGGGCAGTGCCTGAGGGCGCCTGTCCTCATAGCCACGCCCATTGCATTTTCTCATCACTGCTTCCCAGGCCCCTGCCACAGAGCTGAGCTGCCCCTAAGAACCTGTGTGCTTGCGTGGTAGCCCGGGGCGGGGTCACTGGCTGTTCCTTGTCCACTCTGGCAGCTTGTGGACTTGGCGGTCCACTGAGATGGAGGTTCGCAGCGTGCCCATGGAGCTCTCCATCTGTGGGGGTTCCGGCACGCAGCCCACCTTGGGGCACGCCCCCCGGTAGACCTCGCGGGACTTCTTCCTGAAGCGCTTGCCCACCATGACGTACACTAGCGGATTGAGGCAGCTGTTGCTATAGGCCACGTAGGTGCTGATCTGCGTGATGACGTCGACGACGTGCTCGTCCCAGCAGCTCGAGAGGACGCCTAGGCGCAGCAGCGTGTCTAGGAAGGTGCTTACCTGGAAGGGCAGCCAGCACACCACGAACAACAGCAGTACGGCCAGCACCAGCACCGTGGCCTTCCTCTCTGTCTGGATCTCCTTGAACTTCTGCATCTCATTGTTGCGCAGCACCTGCAGGATCTGCACTGTGCAGAATGTGATGACCCCCAGGGGCAGCAGGAAGCCCACCAGGTTCAGCAGCACGTTGGTGAACACCTCCCAGGAGCGTGACGGGTAGGCAATCACACAGGCTGTGACGTTGTAGCCCTCGTCTGAGTACTCCCTCATGGTCCGGAAGGCCAGCATGGGCGAGCTCAGGAGCAGGGTGCACCCCCAGATCACCAGGCTGTAGAGTTTGGCCCAGCGTACCCCGCGCATGCGGCCCATGGACATGGTCTTCACCAGGGCCAGGTAGCGGTCGATGCTGACCAGCATCAGGAAGCAGATGCTGCTGTACAGGTTCATGTAGATCATGGTGTTCACCACGCGGCACAGGGCCTCGCCGAAGAGCCAGTCGAAGTTGTTGGCGATGGTGACGGCCCAGAAGGGCAGCCCGCAGGCCAGGATCAGGTCGGCCGCTGCCAGGTTCCCCAGGTAGATCTCGGCCACTGTGCAGCTGCTCCTGTGCAGGCAGAAGACGCTGAGCACAAAGATGTTCTCCAGGGCGGCGAGGACGAACAAAACCCAGAGGAAGGGGGCCTGAATGGCGTTGAGCCAGCCCCACCACTCGGTGTCCGGGCAGTGCTCGCCCTGGGGAGGCGTCCCATTGAGAGCAGGTGCAAGCACTTGAGAGGTGACGTTGATCATCTCCGCACTGAAAGGAAGTGGAAAAGAGGTCGTCACACCTCCTGGTTCCTAGAGTCAGGAGGGACTGTGGGACACGGGCAGGGGAGGGCCAAAGTGGCTCACACACTTAGTGGACATCAGGCTGGCCCTCAGGTCCTTTCTGGGCTGGCCCTCGGGGCTCAGGTCCGGGGACCCCTGACACTCTGGGGTCTTAGAAATCCCCCCTTTTCTTGAGCCTAACCTGAGATGGCCTTGCTCTCCCAGGCTAGTTCCTGGCCAGCATCCACCACTGGCATTAACAACCAAGAGCCTCAGGCACCTCCTGGAAGCTTCTGTGATGAGAAAACCCACAACACATTCTTTCCTTATTGCATGGACTCCTCCCGAGGGAGTCGTTCATCTCCTTGCCTCTCCCAGGCTTGCCACAAACCAGTGATTGACTGGCATGCCAGATGGGAAGAGTCCGGCCTCATCGCGAGCCCACAGTCCCTCTGCCCATGTCTTGTCTCCCTAACGAAGAACATACCCCATGTCAGAGGATGCCAGAGTCCTTCTGGGTTCAGATTCTGGCTCCCATATTTATTAACTCTGGGACCTTGGCCTAATCTCAATGACCCTCAATGACCTTACCCGTGAAATGGGAATGAACCTTTGTAGGGTCACAGTGGAGACCCGAGACAAGGGGTAACCTGCGCCAGCCCCATGTGCTATTGGGGTTTGGACATTGTTGGTCCTCTCACAGGTTTCTGGGTTGGGGCTTGGGCTTCAGGGTGGTTTCCTGAGAAGATAATATGGAACCCTCTCAGCTGCATGTGCTTGGAGGAATCCTGGTCTCCTGAGTGGGTTGTTGGAAAGCAGGAGCCTGACCCCTCTATCTGTCTTTAGCTTCCTGTTTTGAGACCCAACCCATCTTCTCCCACACTCTTCCTTGGCCATCTGCCTCATAGGATGCAGGGCAGAGCAGATCCAAGTGCGCACCCCAAACCCCACCTGCTGAAGGTAGGACCAGCCTCCTGTCTGTGTCCCTTAGCCCAGCGTGTGCCAGCCTCTGCTTCATCACAAAGAATCCACTGATGAAGGAGTGGTACTGTTAGCCCGACAAGCTGCTAACCCCCAGACTCAAGGAGGCATCTGTGGGGCTGGTGCTTTGGGGTAGCAGGTGAAGCAGCCACTCGCAGAGCTGACGCTCTGTACGGGGACTGATTCATGTCCTGGCTGTTCCATGCCTGATCTGGCTCCCTGGTTATGGCTGAGAAAGCATTGCACCCACGTGGGAGACCTAGAAGAAGCTCCTGGCTCCTGGCTTTAGACTAGCCCAGCACTGATCATTGTGGCCATTTGGGGTTTGAACTGTAGGTTGAAAGATTTCTCTCTCTCTCTCACTCTGTAACTTTCCTTTTCAAATAAATAAATAAATCTTAAAAATAAAAAAGAACTCATTTACTTCCTCAACAGATAAAACTCTGTTGGGAGGGATTTGTTTAGAGAAATTCCAGGACCAGGCAGAGAAATTCCAGGTCTGGGGCAGAATCAGCTCCCATCTGCATCTAACTCCCCACTAGAGTGACGGGAGCCCACCTGGCCATCCTATGGAGCGTGGCATGTTGACCTGATGAAGGCCAGGAGCTCCACGGAGCAGCCAGGGGCTTGGACATGAGATAGGCACACACCTTTCAGCTCTAATTTCAATCCATAAGAAACTTCACCCCTAACTCCTCCAGGAGCTGCCCAGCTCCTTGTTCTGCAGTTGGCCGTAAACACCTGCTTTCTTCTATCACCCAATGCCAGCAATTGGCTTTCTCTGCCTCGGCTGAGGGGCCCAGGTTTGCAGGTTCTACAACAACCCTCCCTTGTTCTGTGAGAGTGACTGCCTTGCCCTGAATCTCCACAACTCTGGGCTAAGTCAGCCTGTCCTGTAGGAAGTTTGCCTGCCCCAGGTACCTTGTTGTACTAACGCAAAATGGGATGACGTTTGCATTTGGCTCAATAAACCCTAGTGTTTTTGCCAACTATTAAACAACCATTGTCAAACAGCAGCACCCACTGTTTGCAGGCTCGTGCTTCAGAACCAGCGGCCCCAGCAGTAAGCCTCCTTCATGCTCAGGCGAGGCTCCCAGGTCAATGGGCAGGGGCTGCTTTCTAGAAGTGGTGTTGTCCGAGGTTCATTCATCTCTTCCCCCAGCCAAGAGCCAGGGGTTCGGACAGCCCTCGCTGTGTAGTCTTGGATAAACTGTGTGACCTCTCTGAGCTTCCACCTTGCTTTCTCTGCTCTCCCTTCCGTGACAGGTGCAAGGTGCCAGTCACAGAGTGGATTTGGGAACGGGCATTTAGCCTGTGGTTACGATGACAGCATCCCATATCAGCTCCCGACTCCAGCTTTCTGTTAATGAGAGAAAGGAGAGAGAGAGAAAGAAAGACAAAGAACCTAAGAGGGGCTATGAAGGCACAGGGAAAAGCTGGCCACTTGCTGCAGGGGGCAGGGCAGGTCCTCCTGGTGATGTGCAGTGTGGCCGAGAGCACGTAGACCCAAGGAGGCTCTTCCCAGCAGGTTCGGTATCAGGGAGGGCAGTCTGAGCCACAGGTTACATGAGAGATGCTGGGATTTTCCAGGAACAGCCCCTCTGCCTCCCAGAGTAGCTGACTGGCAGCCTGGAGCCAGACTGCGCATTTGTGAGTAACCCCTTAAATGAATGCTTTCATCCTGGAAGCATTCTGCCCTGGGCTGGGCATCTGGCCTGGACACAGGAATCCCTGGGAAGATTATTGCCTGCCCTGCCCAAGTCCCTGGTAGTTGGGGCTCAGCTTGCAGGGTACGGCGTGTGGGACACTGGACCAGAGTGGTGATGGGTGGAGAGCTTGGAGATGACTTGGAGCTGGATCTTGAAGGATAAGGAGGATTTCAACAAAGGGACAGGGAGGAAAGAGGACAGACCAAGCAGAGAAAGATGTGGAAACACTGCTGGTATGTTCTAGTTCTAGAAGGTGGCATTGGATGCTGGGGTGGGGGAAGGCAGAAAGAACTAAGAGAATAAGGGAATAAGAGTGGCTCTCCTGGATGCTCTGGGCGTGAGGCTGTGACTCTAGGACACTAAGCATGGAGACAAGAGTGTGGGGAAAAGGTTCTAGAACAGTCTCTGTGTCCAAGCTTTGGAGCTCATCCTCCCTTCAGAAGGAGCGATCTGGCTCCTCCGCCCCAGCTGTGGTGCTCTTAGGGGTTTGTTCCCTACCCACGGTGGCCACAATGGTGTGAGTCAGAAAGCGCACGGCAGTTTCCTCGCTCTAGGGGAAGCCAGCCACAGTGACACTCGGCCTCTGTGAAGCCTTCCACCGTGGCTGACTCCTCAGTCTGTCCCTCCTGCAGCTGAAGCCCAGAAGATGAGCTGTGTGCTCCATGCTCCCGAGTGCTCTGCAGGGAGGACCTCCAGTGGCCAGCCACTTCCGTCCAGCCCTTGGCCTGGGCTTGTGGAGCTGATCCTCACATGGCTAGTAGGTGACAGGAGAGCAGAGAAGATGAAAGGTGATGGGAAGACTCCAAGTGGGTGTGGAGTTGGGAACACTGGTGCCAGGTGATGGCAGCCAGCTGACTGTCTCCACGGGAAGGCTGCGTTGGCCATGGGACCCAGAGCCCAGGCTGCCCTGCTCCAGGACTGACCTTGCTTTCCTCTGCTTTGGTTCTGAACTAGCTCCTTTCAGATCCTCTCTGGAGAGTGTTGTGGGTCCCCTGCATCAGAATCTGCCACGTGCTGCAGACATTCAGCGTGCTCGGCAAGGTGGCACACGTGGGATGCATTGGACATGAACTTCAGAGTGCAACTCTTTGAGAGCCTTCATTTCCAGGTTCATCAGGAAGAGCTCCCCTGTGACAGCCAGAGTGGTGCTCCTCTCTACCCATCCCAGCCCCACAGATCATCCCTCGGCTCCCGATGCTCCTGCGGCGAGTGAGCTGTTGGCTCTGGACTTAGCATTGCCCGTTCCTTCAACCGTTGTCCAAGATGTGAAGTTCCAGGTCTCCTGGGGCTTCTCTAAGTTGTCTGCACCCCCCGCTCCTGCACAGTGCCTGGGGGGCACCCTGTGACTCACCCAAGAGAGGCCATGGTGGGCACGGGGTCATCATAGGTAGACAGGAACATGGAGGCCTTCCAGGCGGCGAACATCTGGGCTCAGACGGAGATGTGAGGGAGGTTGCACCTGGGCTGACCAGAGGAGACAAGATGGTGAGAGGGCAGCAAGGGGCTGGCCGCATGAAGCCCTCATGTTCTCCACCAGGGAGGGGAACGGAGCCTGTAATGTGAGGTGCCTCCTGCATCCTGGGTGCTGTGGTTGCTGTGGGGAGAAGAGACACAGCGCCTGCTCCCGGAGCTTGTGGTGTAATGGTGGAGCCAGACGACAGTCACTGGATCCTCGTGGCCAGATCTGAGTGCCGTGACGGCAAACGCAAGCTTCCGTGAGGGCACCAAGCAGGGTCCCTGCCCAGTGTCTGGGAGGCCAAGTGGGTGCTGCAGGGGACAGCTGAGGAAGAGCAGGAAGGCGGAGCTTTAGACAAGAGCTGACTGGCCCCCCAGGCGTTAGTGCTGACGTTCAGGCCCCACAGTGAGGCAGTTAAGGCAGGAGCTTTGCCTGATGGTAGTGATTGGATGAGAGCGTCAGGGTGGGACGACTGAATGCTGGTGGCTTTGGAAGGAGAAGGACAGAGACCAGCCATGCACATGTGCTGCTCCTTATCGCTACAAAGGGATGCTTTGTGTTGTCTTGGGACTGTGAGCGAGGAGACCATTGCTGATGAAGGCCCCTAGGTGCTGCACCTGCCTCGAAATGACCTCTTTCCTTTTCAAGCTTTCTGCCGCAAGTATTTTGCTATAGTGATGGAAAATGGAGTAGAGCAGGAGTAAAGGATGGTGGCAGAGAGAATGAGTGAAGGAAGAAGTGGTTTGCTTTTTTTTTTTTTTTTTTTGAGAGAGAAAGTGAGCTTCTATAATTAGTTTCCTCCAGTGCTGAAGCTGCACCAAGCCCAAAGCAGGAGCTGGCAACTCCATCCAGGGCTTCTTTGTGGATGGCAGGAACCCTGTCCCCAGAGCCATGATCTGCGGGCATTAGCAGGAAGCTGGAATCCAGATCACAACCAGGACTCAAACCCAGGAAGTCCAATATGGGATGCAGGGCTCATAACGGACACCTTAGCTGCTGAGCCAAACACTGCCCCAGCATGAAAAGCTTGGCGTGAATGTGTGCTGGGCCCTGGCAGCTGTTGGAGGTGGCACTGTGGTGGGATGAGCAGGTGCTGCCCATTCGTCTGGGCAGGGGGTGATGGAGATGGAAAGCACAGCCCTGGTGACACACACTTGCCTGGGGATCAGCTGGACACAGAGGCTTGGGGTGGGGTAGGTGAAGGAGGTGCTGAATGACCCCAGGTGCTGCCACCTCCCACAGAGGGAGAGGGGGTAGGGGATGACTTGGGAGAGGGGAAGAGCACCTGTTTAGCCTGGAACCTGCATGCATGTGTCAGGCCCTTTTCAGAGTTCCAGGTGTGGCTGTGAGTGGCAGAGGTATCCTATATGGGTTGGGGCCTACTGTGGGGGACCATGATGGGAGTGAGTTAGATGTGGGTCTTCAGGGGCTTTGAGCCCAATGCGAGGACAGTCACAGATGAGCTTGTCCTTGCCTGCTGGTGGTCACTGGTACAAGGCACTCTCAGGCTCCAAGCCTTGGGGTCTCTCCTGCAGCTCAGGTGGGAAGGGAACAACCTCTGCCCCGGGGGCTCTCACTGATGATATCTCTCTATCTGAATGTGGGTAGAGCTGCAGGCGCAAGAGAGCGGGGGTGACTTGTCTGAATCCTGTGACTGGGGAGAGCTGGGGAGTGGGGCTGGGTTTCAAGCCCTCTTTCTATTCCATACTTCGTTCTCTCTCCAGGACCCTGATAATCTTGTACTCTCGCTTAGGGTGGATGTAAAGTGTTGTGTGCGTGCACACGTGTACGGGTGTCACCATGGGTCTGCCTGTCCCAGCTTTCCCACTTGTGAACTACAGAAGTGTGCATAAACTTCATCTTCTAATTCAGTTATGGAGCATGGAGATCAGGCAATGACAGCTCAGGAAACTTGTGCACATTACGGAGAGAAAAGGCAGAGGTGTCAGCAGGAAGTGAAGTGGGAGACACTTGGTCAAACACCAGGAAAGATTGAAGTGGACCCAGAAGCAGAGTTGAGAACAGGATTCGCCACTGCAAAAGACGCCATGAGCATCAGAGTCCCCCTGCTGCCTCCGGAGGGGAAGTCAGGGAAAAATCCAGTAGCTGACCTTTCAGAGGGGCCTCCCTGTTCGTGGAGAGAAAATTCCAAGGTTAGGGGTCACATGTGAAACATCTGTATAGAAAAGCTCTGTAGAGGTGGGCATTTGACCTGGCAGTTAAGATGCCATTTGGAATGCTCATATCATGTAAGGCAGTGGCTGGGCTTGAGTCCCGACTCCACTTCCAATTCCAGCTGCCTGCTAATGGGCACCCTGGGAGGCAGCAGGTGATGGTTCAATTACCTGGGTTCCACCCACGCAGGAGACCTGGACTAAGCTCCTGGCTCCTGGCTTTGACCTAATCCAGCCCTGGTTGTTGTGGATATTTGGAGAGTAGATGGGAGACCACTGCTTGCCTCTATGACTGTTAAGGCTTTTTATGAATTGTTGAACATCTATCAGGTGCTAGAAATTTGGTGGGGAGGGAGAAGACCCCATGGGGCACCTTTGGAGTTGGGCATGTACTGAAGGGACCTCGGTCCACCTGCGGGGCCTCCCGTCCCCCTGGGACATTGCCAGCTGTGAGGCTCACTATGGGGAGGTCCAGTGCTGACCTCAGTCATGAGTCCTCTTGCTTAGGTGCTTGGCTCAGTCAGCCCAGCTGGATCCTGGCTGATTCAGTGTGTATGCAAATGGCTGCATACACTGCTCCCTTTCCCAGCATGAGCTCCTTTCTCCCCATGCCCAGAGAGCAGGAGGTGTAAGGACTGGGACAATTTGGGAGCCCAGAGTGACTCTGGTGGTTTTCTCGCACCTCCCCTGGCACTGTATCCCAATCAGAATCCTGTATAGGAGAGCTGGCGTGTCTGCTCCCGGTCTCCTCCTGACTTCTCCACCCTGGAGGGTGTGACATAGGCTGTTTGCCAACTGGCTTGCCTTTGGGCTCAGCCAATGAGAGCCAAGGGAGGGTGGGGAGCTGGGGGAAGAGGTGACTGACTGCCCCAGCTCTGTTGCCAGGGTTGAGCCAGAGTTCATAGCTTCTGCTGGATCAGATCATGAGAACAGGAGAGGCGGGGTCAGGCCATGACTATCCTAACCTTGGAGCCCCCCGAAGCACAGCTTGCTTCTTGTAGGGGCTCCCTGTGCTGCTCACGGCCATGGAGAGAACCTCAGGTGGACGCCTCTCCATTTACCGAGTTTAACTAAGCCTTCCTGCTGTGCCTGGTGGGTGCATCTGGGCTCCTCCAGTCATGTGGGATGGGCTGGTGGTTGGATGTTCATCTCTCTGGGCCTCCCTGTCCTCATCTACAGAACCAGGAGGATCCTCCTGGTGAGACCAGGAGTGGGGGAGGAGGAGGGGACTCTTAGCATGACCTGGTAGGGAGGGGCACAAGAGAGGCTTCCTAGTGAGACCCGGTGGGGAGGGACACAGGAGGGACCTGCATGGCCAGGGTGGGGTCTAGGAGGCCCCTCCTGGTGATACCTGGCAGGGTGGGGTAGAGGAGGGTCCTCTGTGGCCAGATTTCCTCACTTTATTTCAAATTTGTTTGTACTTACTAGACAGGCAGAGAGACAGAGGCAGCCATATTCCCTCCATGGGCTCACTCCCCAAATGGTTGTAACAGTTGGGACTGGACCAGGATGCAGCAGCAGCCAGGACCTCCATCCTTGTTTTTCATGTGGGTGGCAGGAGCCAAGCTCTTGGACCATGACTCCAAGGTGCGTTAGCAGGAACCTTGAGTTGGCAGTGGAGCCAGGATTTGACCTCCACTATGGGCTGGGGGTATCCCAAGTGGCATCTCAACTGCTGAGTCAAATGCCCACCCCTCTCCTCATTCTAAAGGGATGGTTTGGGTATTACATCTAACATTCTGATTCACTTGTACACATCTCGCTCAGAAATCTGTCCAAAAAAACTTGCTTTAAAGCTATTTCCCTTCACTGACTCATATAAACACTGGCTCCGGAGCCATCAGAAATAAATTCCAGTCTCGTCTCAGAGCCAGCCCATTGGCCTCCCAGGAGCCTTCCTCTTGGGGCCTGGGAGGCTGTGACCTCACTGTGCATAAAGTCATCATCTCACAGACCCAGGGCCTCCTTGTTGTGGGGTGCTGAGGGGACAGGGGACACACTGCTCCTGGCATCTGGAGGGAGTTGGAGAAACAGCAGGTGCTGGGAGGATCTTCCTCAAGCAGGTGACGGGGGGTCCCCACTTGCTATCTCTGGGGTTGCGAGGGCCCCAGGTAGGATGGGAACACACAGCCTTCTGTCCTGCCTTGCTGGCCTCTCCTGGGCTTCAGCCACTCTGCGCTCCTGACACGTCCGGCGTAAAGGCATGCAGATTGGCCAGCTTCCTCCCACCTCTGTTTTCTGACCAAGGCCCCCTCATCCACAGGGATGCAACAAAGACCCACTTGTGCCTTTTTTCCAGTGAGTTTACCCTACGCCACAGGAGCTCCAAGCAAGCACTGAAGAGGGTGGGAAGGAAATGGGGGGAGTCCCCTTCCCCTGTGCTCTGTGGCTGCGAGTGGGAGCCAGGAAGCATCTCTGCACACTGCAAAGACCCTTGAATCCATAGGTCTCCCCTTCTGATGGCACCCCAGGGCCCCAGCAGAGGCCTGGCTGCCTCTGACACCTGCCCAGCGACACCTGTCGCATCCTCGCCATGACTGGCACACACCGTCAGGTCCTCATGTTGCAAACTCATTTCCTCCTGGAGGTGGCAGGGCGGGCAGGTGCAGTCCTCGGGAAGGTCACAATCTCACAGGACCAGATTCACCTCGGGGCCAGCCTGCATCCTCTCTCTTGCACCTGCCCTCACTGCCCTCCCATTTTCTGCCATGAGCTGAGGTAGCATCACACCCTCCCTACAGGTGGCTGCCCAATCTGGGCTCTCCAGGCCCTTGTACCAAGAGCCAGAAATAAAC